TTTCTCATGCCATTGTTTAGGAGCTTGTTTTAGTCCATATAAGGACTTCACTAATTTACATATTTTATGCTTTTGTTCAGGAATTACACACCCCTCGGTTGCTCCATGTAAATTTCTTCTTCTAAATCACCATTTAAGAATGCGGTTTTCACATTCATTTGGTGTACAACAAGCTTATGAATAGAAGCAATGACAAATAACAATCTAATAGATGCAATTCTAGTCACCGGGGAGTAAGTATCAAAATAATCAACATTCTCCTTTTGTTTATAGCCTTTAGCTACTAATCATGCCTTGTATTTATCAATAGACCCATCTGGTCTTAATTTCTTCTTAAACACCCATTTACTACCAATAGGCTTAGTTTTAGGAGGTAAATCTACAAGTTCCCACTTGTGATTAGCAATATTGGATTCTAACTCATTATTGATGACTTCCTTCCAAAAAGGTGCATTTGTAGAAGTTATAACATCGTTATAAGTTATTGGTTCATCATTCACAATATAGACATAAAAGTCATCACCAAAGCTATTCTCTTTTCTCATTCTTTTACTTTTTCTCAACTCTAGCACCTCATTCTTAATACCACAAGAACCACTAACATGTTCTTGAGTATCTTTACGTTCATGAACTTTCATAGGAAACACATTCTCAAAGAAAATGGCATTATTGGATTCAATAGTAGAATTAGCTTCCATAATGTCACTTTTAATCACAAGAAATCTATAAGATGTGCTATTAGAACCATATCCAATAAATACACAATCACAAGTTATAGAACCTATTTTTCTCTTTTTAGGCTCAAGTAACATAACCTTTACCAAACACCCCCACACTTTGAGGTATCCCAAACTAGGTGGACGTCAATTCCAAAGTTCATAAGGTGTTTTACCGGTTTTATTATGAGGTACTTTATTTTGTATGTGGCATGCCGAAAGGATAGCCTCCTCCCAAATGTTGGTGGGTAACCCTGAACTAACTAACATAACATTCATCATCTCCTTTAGTATTATATTTTTCCTTTCCCCAGTGCCATTAGACTCGGGAGAGTAAGGAGGAGTAATTTCATGAATTATGCCACATTGTGCACAATACTCATTAAAAGGATTAGATTCATATGCACCGCCTCTATCGGTTCTTAATCTTTTAATCCTTTTATTGCTTTGGTTTTCAATTTTGGTCTTGTACTTTATAAACATCTCAAGTGCTTCATCTTTAGTTCTCAACACATAAAGTTTGGTGAACCTTGAATGATTATCAACAAATATCACATAAATTCTTTTACCACCTTTTGTCATAGTATTTTTCAAATCACTCAAGTTACTATGAACTAATTGTAAAAGTTCACTCTCTCTAGAAATGGATTTACATGGTTTCTTAATAGACTTAGTTTCAGCACATATTTCACATTTGTCTATATTAGTTTCACACACATTAGGAATCAATCTCATTTCTTTCATTTTCTTTAAGTATCCAAAGTTCACATGTCCAAGTCTACCATGCTACACATCAAGAGAGTCAACCAAGTAAGCATAAGAAGATGAAACATTTTCATTAATAATTTCACTTACATTAAGCACATAAAGACCTTGGTCAAGATTACCTTTACCAACAAAGATGTCATTTTAGACAGTTACAATACCACCATAAAAAAGATCTCCGGCCTTTCAAAGTAATTGAACCGACACAAGATTGTACTTTATCATAGAAACATGTAGGACATCGGAAAGTAAAAGAGTTTTGTTGGAAGTAAATTTAAGGAGTACTTTCCCTTTTCCTACAACCAGTATCGATCTATTATCACCCACATATACACATTCGACACCTTCCTTGACGCTAGTATATGATGCAAATGCATCTCTATTGACACAAATGTGCCTAGTGGCCCCGGAGTCTACTACCCAACCTTTTGCTCTCATGACCAAGTTTACCTCACACACTACCGCCACAATGACATCATTGGTTTCTACTACATTAGCCTTTGGTTTAGGCTTGTTGGTGTAGTTGTTGTTATCTCTCTTTCGATATTTTACACATTGAGGTATAATGTCCTACTTTATCACAAATATAACACTCACCTTTTTTCTTTTGAATTTGAGGATTAGATACTTGAGACTTATTTTTTATTATTATGGTTGTGAGGTTTCCAATTCAATTTTTGGCCATGTTTCCTATTGTTGGTGTTGTGGGATTCTAGTTGGTCCACCATCTACCACATTAGGCTTGGACACCATTTCTTTGGCTTGGGTAGACTTTTGTAAAATCTATTTTTCTTCTCAATTTTAATGTGGACAATGGTCTCTTGAAATGTCATAACATTTCTCTTTTGTCGAAATTTGAGTTTATACTCGCTCCAAGACTTGGGTAATTTTTCTACAAGGCATTGAGTCTTGAATCTCTCGGGTAATACATCACCCTCCTTGGCTAACCCATTTATTATATTTTGAAACTCATAAATTTGTGATGTAATGGTCTTGTCCTCAACCATTTGATAATGAAAAAAATTAATGGCTAAAAATTTCTTAGTACCTTTATCCTCAAATTCATATTTTGATATCAACTCATCCCATAAAAATTTAGCATTCTCAATGTGACTATACACATCAAATAGGTCATTAGACAAAGCATTACGAATAGTACTCAAGCATAATTTATCAGCAAGATTCCAATTTTCTAAAGCTTGAACATAATTTTCAGTATCATCATCGGGTCTAAGTTCGGTTAGAACAAATGATAATTTCAAAAAATCCAACACATCAAGAACCTTTTGTTTTCATCTACGAAAATTATTTCCATAAAAAGAATCAATTTTCGAAGCATCGGCTAAGATCTTTGTTTGTGCAAGAAGCTGTGTATCCATTGCAAAAATCAACCTTTAATAATGTTGTGTAATTTTTTTAATAAAGCAATGACATGATGTCAAAAACAACTCTTGCACAATTAATATCTTAAAAACAAAGACTCAAGAATTTAGACCCAAAAAGATTTGCTCTAAAATCACAATTTATAAAATATAAGTAACAGAATGATTTCACCAAACTATAGATCAAGCCGAAGCCTTGTTCTTAAAGGTTGATATGCGCCTCTCGAAGTCAATGATTCGGTCTGATAGGTTCTTGACACGACAACCTCCCAGGATTTTTATAGCTTCACCTCCACCAACACAGACTTATTGTGAAGAGTGGTTAACAACCCTTTTTGATAGTTCCTTGTGGAAGCACAACAAATTTTTTCTAAAGAGAACATAAGCTTTGAAGCAAAGAAAGCGAGATGAGAAACAAAATTGCAAGAGAACAAGGGAGCCAAAAATCTAAGTGTACTGCCAAGAAAAAACGAAGACCAAAAGTAAAGCTTTCTTTGCAATCTATTCTAACGGTAACAAACAAAGGAAGTGGGCCATGGGCTTGCAAAGACAAAAGACTAAGTCAATGGGCTTAGAAATAATATAAGAGAGTAGACCCAACTAATTAAATGTTCTGAAACACAATAAAATAAGCCCAACACAAATGAGTTGGGTTCACATCAATATTCGTTTGACCTAAATTTGACACGATTACATGTTGACCTTGTAAGACTGATCAGAAAATGATTTGAATGTGAATTTGTTCACTACGAGTCAATGTTTTAAAGCCTGGCTCGACGAATTGACCCCAAAACCCGGTGAACCAAACCCTAAACTGGGCGGTTCAAGAGTTAGATCGGTCAAACATTGGACTCGCTTAAAAATTGATGAATCAGACGGTTTTCAATAAAAGTTGTTAAATCGGACAATTAGATTTAGGTAGAATTACATCAAGATTTTTTGAGATTTGTCACTTAATCACTAAGATTTTGACATTTAAAAATACTACACACAGATCCCCTAAGGTGTGTCAGCGTTGCACATATATCCTTAATAAATTATACTTAACCCCCTAAAATTTGTAAGTATATAATACTTAAACCTCTAAGTTTAAAATATTATACTTAGAACAAAAATACTCCAATTAAAGTTAGGATATCAAATATTTTAAATTTTACAACAAAAATTTATGTTCTATTGTATCATTTATTGAAATAAATTAAAATTAAAAATTTAATTTTTTCTTCAAAAATCATAAATAGTATACAATTATACTATTTATTAGAATAAAACAAAAAAAATCAAACAAAAAGTCTAAGTAATAGAACATAAATTTTACATCCAAAATTCATGTTCTATTATGTCATTTATTAAAATAAAATCAAAAATAAAAATCTAGTTTAAAAAAAAATCATAGTTAGTATATAATTATATTATCTATTAGAATAAAACAAAAAAATTAAACAACGGGTCAAACGGTAATGAACACAATATCTTTTAGTTTTAATTGAGGTAGTTTGGTACTTTAATTTGATCGTTTAAATGACTAAATTAAATTCAAATAAACAATATAATTGTATGCTAATTATGATTTTTTTAAGAAAAAGTTAAATTTTTATTTTTGATTTTATTTCAATAAATGATACAATAGAACATTAATTTTAGTTATAAAATTTAAAATATTTGATATTTTATCTTTGATTGAAGTATTTTTGGTTTAAATATAACATTTTAAACTTAAAGGGTCTAAGTAATATATGTTTATAAACTTCAGGGGCTCTGAGCATAATTTATTAACTGATATATTTATAAATGTTATGCATATAAATTTTAGAGGGTCTGTGTATAATATTTTAAATGTCAAGGTCTAAATGATTAAATGACAAACTTCAAGGGTTTGAACGTAATTTTACGTAAGATTTATAAAACCCCCCAACATTTTTGGGGATGGCCTCTCGCTGCTCTCTCTCATCGTCTCACGTTAGTGGCCTGTCTAGTGCTACTGTTGCTAAACTTCGACGATCATTACTCCGGCATCCTCATCTCATCCCCATCTCTCTACCTACCAGTCAACACATCGGATAGGTGTCCAGTCAATCACCGCGGTTACCCCTCAGATTCTTGGGCTTGTTAATTTTTCTCACCCTCTCACAGTCTCACAATCACAGCAACAGATCGCACCGTCTCACAGTGGCATCAAGGCAGCAACATACAGCAGGTAATCTTTCTCATCTCTTTTGTTGAAAGTTGAATCTTGAAGCTAAACCGACTTGGGAATTGAAGTTGGAATTCCACTGTTTCTTTGGGATTTTTCACTTGAATTTTAATTCAATATGCACGTCAAATTGAGTTGGTCATTCAATTTGTAGTGTGAGGTTTTAGTGATTGTTATATATGGATTTAAGTCTGATTTGCATTTGTAAGATCAGAAATTGTGTGGGGAAGACTGAAAAGTTTGACACACTGGTAATTCTTACTCGAGACTCTTAATGTCTCTCACCACTGCTTTTTGAGCTTGTGCCCTTTCAAACTCGCTGCACATAGGATTGAATTATAAACGTGGAAGAAGATTTTACAAGTTAGAAAAAAAAGATTGTATTTGTAACTCGGCCTTTGTACTTGATTTTTTCTATGTACCTTCCTTAGTACAATTTGAGGTTGAGGAGTGAAAATTGTGGAATATTCTTGGATTGATGAATAATTGGAGTCTTGAACTTAGAGAGGTACTTTTTGTCTTGAAAATTGGATGCATTTGATACATGTTTAATAATTTTTTGGTTTTTGTTTGATCTTGCACATTAAACATGTTATTTTTATAATTATTATAACTCTTTAGCATATTTATTATCATTAATAATTATTTTAATTTTTTATTACATGACTGGGTCACTGAACTACTAACCCATTGATTTGGCCCCTTTGTCGGGTTGATGTCCGGGCCGGGTTTAAATACTTTGGTATGGATATTCAAAGAAAAAACAGAAAGCACAACAAACCCTAAATTCCTCCTTTTGAAAGTCACCTGCATTGCTGCTATCCTATCTAGCTCTCCTATGTCTCTTGGAGTCTAACTCTCCAAAAGATCTTCTCTCTCTTCCTAAATCCCTTTCATCTGCCGCCTTATGAATGATGCCAATAAGGTTGTGTTTCATACTTTGCCCATTTAATACAACAGTGGTGAACCTGCCAGAAAAGTTGGATGAATACCCCTCCTAGACAAATTTTTTTCTCTCTAAAATCTATCTACTATTTGACGAGTTCTCTTCCTAGCGTTGCAAGTCAGTACTGAAATTCTTGTCATTACCATCAGGTTAGTTTTAAGCTCATTAGCTGCTATCCCATCCGAAGTCACCACTATAATGAGAACAATCATTATAATTGTAGTTTGCTACACTTCTAAAATTCTATGATTATTCACTACTATGACCCATTAACCTAAAAATTCACACTAGAGTACTAGACATTAAATTTATTTATCAAATCCTGATTTTCTTCTTGTATAATACAATAATTAACGTACACGGTGATAATTATATAATTTGAAATGTATCTTGACCGCATCTGTGCCCTACTTTTGAAGATTTTTGTGTTGATGTGTTTGTGTTGTGTCACCCATATCTCATATACATGTTCGTGCTTTATAGGTGATTACTCAATGATTTTCTTCTAGTTATTTTCATGGATGCGTATGAATAGATAATTTGGATGAAATTATGTATGTATATGTGTTAAACATGTAGAAAATGGGTTGTCCTATCATGTTATTGTGTTGCGCGGGTTGTGTTGCGTTACAGTCACATGATGTGGTAAGGGTAGGGTTTGGTGCCCAGATATAAAATTCTTATAATACCCTATTTTCTTCATATAACATCCCTTTAACTGCTTATAATTTCCTATCCATAATCCTTTAACTCAAAACTCCCTATAATATATCTCTTCTCACTTCCATATGTCTCTTTCTTCCTCTCTTTATTTCGCCCCTTTACAATTGCACGCATGAATAACCGTGGCAAGACCCATTACGTGACACCTCATGACAGAAAGCTGTTCATCTTGTCATGGCCCGACAAGAACAGGAGTATTCCTTACTCTCTCTCTCATTTACTCGCGCACGCATGCATGCGTACGCACAAAGCACACCCCCTGAATGTGTTTCCCCCCAAGCGGCAACATCATTGATGTCCAATTTTGTTAAACTTTGAGGGATCAAACTGCTATTCATTGATAGGGTTTTTATTTGGTTCTTTATTTTTGGTAGCTTTCTTCTCCATATGCAACGTGCTTCTAGAGATTAGATTAATTAGGATAAACTTATCAGAAAAAGTTCAAATAAAACTTGCTACTCCTTCACTATTTTAGCATTCATATTTATTGCTTTATAAGGTCCCACAGGCAAATCTTCAGAATTTATTTTTCTTATGTATGTCAGATAAAGTGTTTGATCTTGATTTATTATCATTTTTTGTTGTGACCATAGTATTTTTTATCTAGAGATTCTTGTTCTCATTGTAATTGGTGATCAATTTTATTTCGGGTTACCTGTGGTACAAGTGAGTTGTGTTTGTGTCAGGTCGTTTGACACAATTAACTAAACAGGCTATGCTAGCAAGCTGAAAGAAACTTCTCGTCTTTGAGATAGGATGAGCTTTGGGAGCTTGAAGAGTCTGGTGGCGGAAGCGGCCATTAGAGGAGTGACCGAGGCAAGGGCAAATATATTTGGGCATGTACTTAATCCAACAGGGCAGAGATCTTCGCACAAGATCCTACGCAAGAAGCTGATTGGTCAGAAAGTTGCAGAATGGTACCCTTATGACATCAAGAAAGATGACCCTCTTGTCATGGCCCGACAAGAACAAGAGTATTCCCTACTCTCTCTCTCTCTCTCTCCCCCACATCCACACACACACCCCTGACTGTTTGGTTCAAGCTGCAACATGATATATGTCCTCAACTTTGTTAAACTTCAAGTGTTCAAATTGCTATTCATTTGTAGGTTTTTTATTTCATTCTTTATTTTTAGAAACTTACATTTCATTGATTGTGGCTGTCTCCTCAATTTGCAACATGCTTCTAGAGATTAGATTAGTTAGAGCATACATGTCAAAATATTCTAATAACAGTTGCTACCTAGTCATTGTTTTAGCATGCGCATTTTTTACTGCAAATCTTTGGAATCTAGTGATGTTTTTATTTATCAAAAAGGGTATTTGGTCTTACTTTTACTTATGTTTTTTCTTTTGACCATATTCATTTATAGAGATTTTGTTTTTGGGCCTATTTCTCATAAGTGAGGAATGGAAGTGCAATTTCTTAATGTGGCTTCTTGTTCGTACTCAGCCATGAGTTGGTAGTACACATATACATACAAAGAGTGTTTCCCATCTTCATGAATCACATTGTCAAAAATTTCAAAACAAAAATTCGATGATTATTGTAGCAACCATTGAAGTAGTTCTTTTATTCATTTGACTAACCTGGCTAGAGTTTGGTGAAAATAAATGACTAGATTAGAAGTAAATGTGCCTGACGTGGGGTTAGACTATTACTCTTATAATTGTAGGTTAGAATAACATTTTGTATATTTTATTTTTTCTTTGGTATTTTTTATTGTATCAGCTGGTTGTACTTTAATTAGTTAACAATACTTTGTTTGATTTATTCCCGTAACTTGATATATTTTACTAATTAATAATATTACTCAAACTTAATTTGAGGACCTGATGTATTATTGCTATTAGATTGGTAATGGACCCTCTACAAGTTAGGAATCCGTTGATTTTATGGCAAAAATAGACTTGGTCCCAAATTAAATCCCAAAATTAGATCTAATTAGCATTACTTTTTATTAATATACTTCCGGTAGCACCTTTACATTCCATTTGTACTATATTTCTTGGGTTAGATAATGTGTTTTAGATATATGATACATGGTTATTATTATTTACATTATTTTAGATTTTTTGTAATGTTTTAGAATTTTTTGAACATTTTAATTTCCATTTCGCGTGAATTGGCTGATACCGTATTACGACGTTACAACTGATGTGTCTCGGTGCCTTCCTAGTTAAGGTTTGATATTGTGACCTTGAACCATGACAAGAGACGATCTTCACTAGGTCAAATTTCGGAGGAAACTTGGTTTACAGACTCGGTTTGTTGTTTTAATCAAATGGGAGAAGATCTTGTCAAATGTGTAACAGGAGGCCCGAGTTTATGTATTATCCAACTTGGATCGTGGGTGATTTGGTATGGAGTATGATTGCAGATACACTTTAAGTTTCTTTCTGCTATACTCGTGATCAAGTGTTTAAAATTAGGATGCTACCTTGGATCGATGAGGGATGCTAAAGGACCGGAATCATAGGATCGGATTGAGAATTGTAAGATCTTACTAACTCAAAAAATGTAATGAAAAATATATGTAATAATATAGAACTCTTAAAAACAAGAATTAACCAAGCCTAGTATATATTATGTTCAATATAAATGTTATGAAAAATATACGACTTAGAGATGTTATTAAAATTTGTGAAACTACAATTGAGCATTGAAGATGGTTGAAAATCAAAGGCGGTTGTTGATCTTGTGGGATTTTGCGGAGGGTAATAAGAGAATTGAAGTATTTTGGAGAGACGAATATAGAGGAGTGACTGAAAAGTTGGGCCAGTTTGAATAAACAACTTTGACTATTCACCATCCAAACAAAAAAAGGCATAAAAGAATAAAAATAGAAGACCATTTGGATATAATCTCTGACAGATAAAGGAGATCAAACCTAACTATAGTTTTCAGCTTTACAACATGAGAGATGAACGAGTGAAGAAAACTTTTTATAACAAAAGAAATTTTTTTGTAGCTTTTCTCATCTGCCAAAATTCTCTACTGAATTGACAATTATACGAAACAATCACATTTGGATCGAGTCTTTAAGGGTTAAAACAATAAATATGAATTGGGCAATTCAATATTGAAATGCGCCTAACAAATAAACTTAACTACTTGGATTGGTAAAATCGCAATTTCAGGATTCTACGATCCTATAAGATCAAGATTACGATGCATTAAGATCCTATGAATTAGGGATTCTACGAGAGACTCAGATTGATTTATCTGTTTACAATCCTACGATCCGGATTGGGATTTGGATAATTATGGTTGTGATGGGAGTAGACTTGGTATGTTGTTTTGGTTCGTGGTTCACTTGGAAACTTTTGTAAGAATTTCTTTCACCATTATATAACAATATATATAATTATATATTCCTCTACGCTTAACTAATTAGTATTTATGTTGTGCTTGTGATAAGACTGTCAAAGTAAGCCTAATCCAAAATAACGTACGTGCTAGTGTTTGTCAATAATTGAATTTTATGATTACATATTTATCTTAAGAAAAAAGCCAAATCACGTAAATAGTCAACAGTTAAAGTTTAAAGATCACCAAAACAAAGAAATGAAGTGGCAATTAGGGTAAAATTTTTTGGGTTATCGTGGATCGATTTGTGATAGGGTTATGATTTTGGGTTTGACAAGTTGAGTGATCTAGGTCACAAACTCACCTTGTTTGGGATCATAGGATGTTTGGGATACATGCAATCTCGGTGTTTCTGGTCTGTCCATTATTCTATTACTTTAGATGTGATGGCCTCTAGGTGGGAACCAACTTCTTTTAGATTTTAAAATATGTGGTTGAAGCATCATTTATTTAAGAGTAACTTTGAAATGAAGTGCCAAGAAAGTTTTGTACAAGATTGGGATGGTGTTAAAATTATGAAGAAGCCGGAATATGTAAAACAAAAAATGGAAATATGGAATAAAAAAGTTTTTAGGAAATATAAGAATTGAAAAGAGCTCCATTTCCAATTGCATGGGGGACTTAGACAACAGGGAGGAAGAGGGAGGTTTGTATGAATAACCGAGGAAAGAAAGGAGTGATCATAGAAATAAAATCTAGGAGATGGTGTTCAAAGAAGAGATCTCTCGGAGATCAAAGACCAAGGTTAGATGAGTTAAAGAAAGAGTTAATAATACTAAATTTTTTATTGGGTGGCTTTCGTGAGGAGGAATAAATTGATAAATAAATTGAAAAACGGAGATGGTTCATTTATTGAAGATGAAAATTGTATGGAGGAAGAAATCATTAGTATTTTTGAAGAGCTTTATTTTACACTATACTATATGAAACCAAGATTAATGGGTTAGTTGATGCCCTATCAGTGAAAGGAAAATAAATCGGTTGAAAATGGCATTTGAAGAGATAAAGGTGGGAGGAGAAATTTTTGCTGTGTAATTAGGGTAAGTCTCCCGGGTCAGATGGATTTCTATGGCAATGTTTCAAGACTTGGGAGGTTATAAAGAGTGATTTGATGACAGTATGCTCAGAGTTCCTCCTAATGCTAATACGACTTATACTTGTCTAATTTCGAAGAAGTACGAATATTTGGAAATTAATGCTTTTAGTCTCATAAGTTTGGCTTTTAGTCTTTGCAAGTTTTTAGTAAATGTTTGTGTCAATGAGATTGAGAGACGTCTTGGGTCATGTGATTTCAAAATATGAGAGTGCTTTTCTAAGGGTTGGTAGCATAAGTGGCAATTGAATTTATTGAAGAATTAACATTGAATGATAAGGTTGGGATTGTTGTAAAAATTGATTTTGTAAAAAAGCATATGTGGATTGAGTTTTTTATACATTATTGTATAGGTCCAAAGTCTTGGGTGTAGATGGAAAAGGTGGATTGAGGGGTGTTTGAGTTCTATGAATTTTTGGGTTAATAATCCTGATGGTAAGCACAAGAGAGAGAGAGATTCAATGCACCTACGAGACCTAGACCGGGGAATCCATTGGCCTTTTTTGTTTACTTTGGGTGTCAGGGTTAAGTAAATTAGTGGTAAGGAGCAATTGATCGCAATTTAATTGAGGATTTTGTTATATGTATAGAAAATGTAGTTGTATCCTATTTACAGTTGGGAAATGATACATTTTTCTTTTGATCTAGAGGACATTATTGAGGTATTTGGTTTAGTTTCAGGCTTCAAATTAAAATGTCTAAGAGTTTAGTTTTAGGAATGTAGTCTCATTTGAGTTATGTTAGCTACGTTCTCAAATTAGTTAGGTTATGTGATGCAAGAATGGTCTTTGAAGTATTTAGGGCTTCCATTGAGAGAAATTTGTAGACATAGAGGTTTTGAGTACAAAAGAGATTGACCGCACGCACAACTTAGGATTATGGTATTAGAGAATTAGATGTATGCATTAAAAATCATTTAAGACAAAGAAAAGAGATTAAATATCCAAGAACTAGGTGGTCAAACTTAAAAAGACTAATTTTAGATTTTTGGGGTAGAATTCAAAATTTGAAAACCGGTCTATTAGTGATAAGGGAGTATTTATTAGTGATAATGGAGTTAATTTTGCTAACAATTACTGCAATAAAGGAATCCAAGAAATGGACTTGTTAGATTTGAGCATATGCGGGTTGATCATCACTCTTTTGTTCTTAATTTTAAAGACAGGTGGTCTAAGGTTATTGTGAAGGGATGCGAAGGTTTCAAGATCATGAAAATTGAAATTGGTGAAATATCATTCAAAGGAGTGGAATAGGGGTATTTTTGGGGATGTTAGAACGGAGAAAGAAAGTATCTTGAGAAGAATTGAGGAAATTGACTATCTTGAAAGTTTGAATGGCAAATCGGAGAACTTGTGAAGGGAAATATGTGATCTTAGAAATAAATATTAATGTGTGTTGGTGAAAGAAGTACAAGTTGGAGACAAAAGGCAAAAATTAAGTAGATAAAGGAGGATGTTATTACAATTTAGTTACCTTTAATAACCTCTATAAAATATCAATGGTAATTTAGTGTCCAAATACAAATAGATCCCCCAAAATTGAATATTACAAAAAGAATATCAATATTCGCTGAACTTTGATTCTTCTAATACTTTAATCCCGATCTTTTCTTCAAAATCAACCTAAAAAATGTAAGTGGGGAAGTATACAATACACTAGGAACAAATATGCTCAACGAAAAAAATACAAACAATCAAATACTAAATAACTCTAGGATCACGTAATCATCAAATATCTCAAGTAGTCAGGTAACACATACTTCACATATCACATGCCAAGCGAGACTTGAAGGTAGACCTGACACTTCACCAATCACCCCACCTCAAACCAATCTCACGGGTCTCTTGGTCTGGCGATGCATTGGACTAGTGGCTACTAGTTTCCAGCTCCCAATCCACACAAAACATGATCAATGTGCTCATACTCAACATACTTAAATAAATTATATCAGACTTTTAGAATTATTGTTCAAATCAAATAGAATACAAATTGAAAATAACCAAGGAACTACTCTTTGCAAGAGATTCAAGACAGAGCATATTGTATACTGCTCCACTTCAGATCATCAATCAATGCCAGTAGATATGAAGTTCAAGGTATTTTGACCATAATCCTCGAATTTGGTGGCAATCTAAGCTCAAATCATCAAAGTGAATTGTTACTTTTTCTCGTTTATTTTTTCTTGCAACCACCACTCTATCTTTGCTTTTCTACACACAAGTCTTACTTAAGGCTTCCCACCTTTTAGAAACAAGTGTTATTCATATAGACAAAACACTTGGTGCCCAAGTGTCTTGGTACCCAATGCACACCAATCACCACTACATGATGAATCAAACACTCACTCAATTAGGTAAAACAAAACCAAATAATCATGACACTTGTCCACCACTCATCAATAATTCTGTGTGTTTAATTCTACTTACCTTTAAATCTTTATAATTTATGTTTAAGACCTTCAAAAAGAATGTTATATTTTATCAATTATGGATTTCTTCCAATAAAATTTACCATTATTTAATTTAAATGGACTGGATGTTACACTTTTCTACTTTGTGTTAGACTTGCACTTGTCACCATTGAGTACAAGTACTTTTTACTTTCTCCTAGTTTCATTTTCTTTGCTGGTTTTTTTTTTTTGGGGGGGGGGGGGTATGTCATATCCTGTTATTTTATTCTAGTCGTGCTACTATGTGGTGACATATATGCAATCCACCATCCTATTTGATTTTACTGTATGACGTGTTTACTCCATGGTATATCTACTTCATGTCAGTGCTAGGGTTGGTGGTATAGTCTGTTTGCAGTTTGCATAAGCACCAAAAGCATGGAACCAAGTTGTAACTCTGCATAATAGGATTTATCAAGCGAGAGATAGTGGTATAGGCTTGTGGTAGCTGTTCAGAAGGCATGGAACTAAATCTTGCCTTAATGGATAGGATTAGGGTCTCTTGCTGTTAGCCCATCATTTACTGGCAGACAACCAGGCATCTAAATAATTTAGCCAGCCGAAATCAACACAGCCAGAAATGGCAGAAATGTAGTGTGGTGAGGAGGAACACAAAGGATATTATCCAAGGATAAACTAGATTAGTAAACATGTCATGAAGCATGGCTGCTTTACCAATTAGTCTGACGAAAGTATTCTGTTGTCTTCTACCATCGAGTTCTGCACACACCGTTCCCAAGTGTCTACCACAAGAAATATCTAATTCCTTCTCTGAGATTTTGCTTCTTTCCTCTTGTCGTAGAGACAATAGTCTTTCTTTCTCTTCCTCTTTCTCTCCCACTTTGGTGGCCTTGTCTTGTATCTTTGTTGGAGGCCCCTCCCCATTATTCAGTAATCTTTGTTGTCTTTCTCTCTCTCTGGAGCTATACTTCCAGCAAGTCATCGTTACTCTTGCATTTAAGTGAGAGTTTGGGAGAGGAATGATTTTGGAGATTTTTTTGAGATAAAAATAGGAAGATAAAGGGAATGAATTGATCTATCACTCATCTGATGGTGTAGAAAGATTTTGAGCAACAAGTTTTTTGCTGTAGTTATAGTTTGTCTTCTATTGTCTATGGTAAAGTGGAGATACTGCTTATGTAGAATTCTACAGAAAACTTCATTTATATGCATGCATGTGAATGATGCATACTGGTCTAAAATGATTACCTGTTTCTGTATTGTATGTTCTTTGGCAGGCGCTTAAACAAGCTTGAAATGTTGAAGCGTCGTGGAAAGGGACCACCGAAGAAGGGCCAAGGAAAGCGTGCTGCAAAGCGTAACAAATAGAGATTGTCTCTGTCCATGGTCTGAAATTGGATTACGAGCTGGTTTTTGTAGGACATGGCTTTAAAAATCCTGAATTGAATGTTTGTGATTTGTTCGGTAACATTTCTTTATCTTTCTTCTGTTTTTTCCTTTCTGCCATCTATCAGAAAACACAGGTGGTTGTTTGCAAATGATATGACGTACATTGGCATAGTTAACCATCCGCTGGCATGCAAACATCTTCGTGTTTTTGTGCTCAAGCTCATACAATATATGAATGGCACATTTATGTCACTGACCGGCTCGTCAGCGAGAACTTGCGGGGTTTGAGCATTTGCTAGGGGCCTGGGGTTGGCAGGACCTAGTCAATTTTTGCAAAGCTCTTCAAGTATAAACTATGGCATACAAAGAATGGAGATGTATATTCACTTTGTATGGTTGATGTTGTACACGACCTCATAAGAAAAGAAGGAAAAAAAATGATGTTTTCAACTTCAAGTTTTTGACATAAATAAAAAAGTAATAACGAAAGGGATATCTGAGAATTTGCTCCCAGGCTTTTTGAATTTAAAAATCATTAATTTACTAACGACAACAGTGAATATCCAATTAATAATAATAATCGGATGGAAGAACTTATAAGCAAGAGATTCCTAAGTTAGATCAGTAAAAAGATTCAACTTATGAAGTACAAGAAGTAGAATATGCATGTTTTATATCACTGGAAGCAGAAAAGCTATTAAGCAGAGTTCTTCACATGATATCTCCTAAAAACATCTTGCACAACGCTGCTCTAGCAGAAGTTTATCATTGTGTAATAATATGGCAACAAAGGAGGTAGCCTACTGTAAGTTACATGTAAATGGGGGCTAAGTAAATAATTAAAACAAACCCGTTACAACTCAGTGGGGTTAAGTTATGACTTAAAAGAGGGGGATGAATCCTAAAATGACAAGATTATCGATCCTAAATAACCATCTTTCGCTTTCATCTCACCAAGTTGAGTGGTAATTTCATCCCCATTTGAAAGTCTCTCAGGGAACAATGGAATCTTCACTTTCCTCAATGCAATCCCACAAATATTTGTAGGAGTGGATAAGGAAAGAAAATGCCTTCAATAATACCCTTTCTTTTTTCTTCCAACAATAAATTAACCAGTGAAATTTTCCAGATAAATATTTGATTCTTTGCAGGTGGAATGATATGTAACTAACTATCGACAACAGAGCAGCAGCAAGATTTTTAACGTTTAAAGCCTCTGCATCATGTAATATTTCTTTCATGCCTCAGAAGTTACGATTGATAATTTAACATTCTTAATGATACAATCAATGAACAACAATGGGGTAGGGTAGCAAAAAGACTGTAGGTATATCTGTAAATGAATTTCAAGGAAGGGTTGGGCACTTTCTCACCAATAATCCCCACATGAACAAGTTCCATCTATGAAATGATGGAATCTCCGAACATCCCTCACAATGATCTCCCTCTCCATAATCTTTGAGATGAATTTAGTAGCAGCATGACAGTCGTTACAAACTCTGAGGTTCTTGGCTATCCGAATGGTAGTACCAGGAGGGGTATTGAGCATACCAAATGCAATTGCTAGTCTCTCGCTGTGTCCACATAGCAGATTCTCCTTTTCTTCCTCACCGACATTATGAAGAACACAGGAAGTATCAGGCACATAACCCTCTTTTTTCAACCTCTCAGACAAACTCTCAAGAAAACCATGAAGCTGCTCACTTTGTGGATGTGAGACATCCCCAGCCATGAACTTGTGTACCACATCACCAAACTCAATCCAACTGCACCCAGGTTCTTTTTGTACCCGCATTTCCTTCATGTTCTTCCGAACCTCCATTGCTCTTTCCCACAGCCCAGCAGAGGAGTAGATATTGGAGAGTAGAACATAGTGGCTAGCCACATCTGGCTCCAATTGAAGGAGATTATTGGCTGCGATTTCCCCAAGTTCTACATTTAGGTGAATCCGGCAAGCACCAAGAAAACTACTCCAAGCACCGACTTTGTCAAAATCTGGAGGCATCTCATTGACAAGTTGATATGCTTCCTCCAGATAACCTGCTCGACCAAGCAAATCGACAACACAAGCGTAGTGATCAGCTGTAGGTTCAATACCATGGTCATCTTTCATTTTGTGGAACAAGTTCCGGCCGTCATTGACCAGCCCAGAGTGGCTACATGCTGCAAAAATTGCAATAAATGTAACCTCATTAGGTTTAACTTCCCCACCTTGTGCTCCTTCTGCCACCATATTCTTAAAAAGTTCTAAGGCTTCCTTTCCTCTGCCATGCATTCCATAAGACATTATGATAACATTCCATGTAATTACATTTTTGGACGGCATACCATCGAAAACTCTCTTAGATAAGTTCAGGCAACCACATTTCGCATACATGTCAACCAATGCACTTCCAACAGCAACATCAGGTGCCAATGCATTTCTAATCGCGTAAGCATGGATCTCTCTTCCCTTTGCTAGTGCTGCCAGGGAAGCACAACCAGGAAGGATTGTCATGAGCGTTATTGAATTTGGTCTGTAAGGAACTCTTTCTTCATCCTCATAATTATCATTCTTCCCTTCTAATTGTTGCATATCATGTAGAAGAACAAGGGCATCTTCATGTGATCCACAAACTACATAACCTGTGATCATTGTATTCCATGAAACTATATCTCTACTCTCCATGCTGTCAAATATATACCTTGAAATATCTGTTTTCCCCATCCTAGAGTACATGTCCATAAGTGCATTTTTCACATACCTGTCCATCCCAAAACCCAATTTCACCACATACCCATGCATAATTTGTTTATCAGCAAATGCCTCGCAGTGAACACAAGCTGGCAAGACACTTGCCATTGAAGTGGGAGTTGGAAAAAGTCCTGAGACCTCCACCATTTCCATAAAGAGTGCTAAGGCCTTCTCATAAAGCCCGTTTTGTGTATAACCAGCAAGCATAGCATTCCAAAGACCAAGTTTCCTATCTAAGACATCATCAAAAACTCGACGGCCAATTTCAACCTGTCGACAATTGCAATACATGTCAACCAAAGCACTACCCACGAAAGAATTTCCAATTAAATCGTCATTTCTCAGAGCATAAGCATGAATTTCCTTCCCAATGTCTAACAACTCCAAATGCGAGCATGCTGGGAGAACACTAGAAATTGAAACTCCATCCGGTTTATGTCCCTCAGAAACCATAAGTTGAAAGAATGTCAATGCCTCATAAAACTGATCATTCTGAGAGAAGGAGCTTATAATGGTATTCCAAGAAACCATATCACGATTTGCAAACAACTCAAAAATAGCTTTTGAATCATAAACTCTACCTAGTTTGGCATACATAGCCATCAAAGCATTGTTAGTAAATGTTTTATTATCGCCTACTCGCAAACTATACCCATGGACTTGCTTCCCAAGGTTCAACCCGTCCCGCTTATTTAAATTAGAACAAGCAAGCGCAACACTCACCAAGGTGAAAGAACTAGGCTCTATTATCTCCAATTGCATGGCTCGAAATCCCTCTAATGCCAATTCCCACTCCTCAAACCGAAACAATGCGTTTATCATTGAATTCCAAGAAACTTGGTCTTTTTGAGGAATTCTTTCGAACACTTTGAAAACATCAAAAATATCTCCACACTTTCCATATAAATTGAGAAGGGTATTAGCCACAGCCACCGAAGATGACTCGTACCCAAGTTTGATTACAGACCCGTGAATCTGTTTTCCAGCATTCAGGTCTTGAAGGCCGGTAATGGCCTTCGTAACTGCCGGGAAAGCGAAGTTGTCCGGTTGAATGCCCGCCGCTGTCATTTCTACGTATGTAGAAACGGCTTCCCAAAAATGGTTTGAACGGGTTTGGGATCGAAGAGCTTCGATCCATGAGGCTTTAGAGCGTGTTTCTGATATGGGCTTTGATGGGGTTTTGGTGGGGATGAGAGTCGTTGTCGTACAAGAGGTGCTGGTGAGTCGAGGAGTGTGGTTTTGGAGAGGTGGTGGTGGTTGGGTTTGGAGGGAAGAGAGAGAGTGTGAAGATTGTAGGGGTAGAGACAGGGGAGAGAGTGTATGCGAACATACCCAGGAGGACATTGGTAGTTATTACAGTTAAAACAGGGTCTGAACTCGAGCTTTTTCAGCGGCTCTTTGTTTTCGGGGGAATACAAGGGTGTGTTTGACTTGATGGATAAATCAGGGTAGCAAAAGTTGGATCGAATAAAAAATTATAGGGCCCATTTATCCTAGCTCTGGCAAGCTATATGGTGGCTGGATAATTGTTGGGATTAAAAAAATCGGTTCATAGGTTCTCGGGTCAAATATCCTCTCTAAAGTGAATAAATTAAACTCATCTAAACTTTGGGATTGCTATCCAACCGACAGGATAGGAATTTAATTTACTTAAACACGCCAGAAAAGAAAGTGGTAGGGTTTGTTTATCACAATCCCCTCCATTGCATTGGTCCCCCCATTTAGAATGGCGCAAATCTGGTCTTCATTGTCAAAGTATTCTCTCTCTCTCTTTCTGTATCAGTCTCTCATTTGTTTGCATGTGTCTGTGTTTATCGCAAATAGTGTATCGCTGTCTCTCTCTTTCTCTTTGTTGGTGTATCGGTCTGTGTCTGTATGGTGTTAGGTCATCGGTCTGTTGCTCTCTCTCTCTCTCTCTCTGTTGTTGCTCTCTCTCTCTCTCTGTTGTCGCTCTCTCACTACCGTTATGTTGGCGTATCTTGGGTAGGCTCGAACTAGTTGCTTTGAAGGTTAGCCTACCCTAGATTAGTGCAAGCCTTGGATTTTTTGGGCATTTCTTCACTGGTCACACAAAGAAGTGGGGAGGGTAATTGAAAGGTTAAAACGGAGGAGAGCTGAATCGATGGTTTCATGGTGCAAGAGAAAGTGAAACGACTGTGATGATCTTACAATTGATAAGGAATATTGTTTGGATGATATTGTTTTACATGGACTACCTATCTCTCTCTCTCTCTTAGTCTATCGC